TAGGAACTGAGTAGAAATTCATATCGAATATGACAACAGCAATCATTTGAAAGCCAAAAAACAAATAGAACGGTGTGAAAGGTAAGAAATTGCAAATGCTAAAATGTGCGATCTTTTGGTCAGGGATTGTTTCTCCAACTTACCGTAATTTGTTTTGGCTCAGTTGTTTGGGAGAATATGCACAAAAAGACAGATACGGTACTACCCAACCAAAACACACCATTCTGGTCAACGTCTGTAGTAAAGCAAGTGTTGCAAGAGCATTAGACTGCCTAAAATGACGTATCGAAAATTTGATCAACAAGTACATTACAGGTTTGTGGGTTTCACCGACACACACCTTTGGATCCTCTCAAAAACGTTAGGCGAGTATACCAGACTTTCATCGCTAATCTTTTAACTGCTGTGAAACAGCATAGAAAGCTGCAATCTGAAAGGCGACTTCTAAGCGGTTGCTTTTTTGTCAACAGGAGGGGGTCATAGAAACTGAAGCTACTCAGATGACTTTTGATTTTTTGTAAAAACTAACGTGTCTCTAGCGTAAGATGGTTACAGTGGAGATTCCAAGCCTGGAAGAAAGTTAATTGCAGAGTGATGAACCATTTATCATAAATTTGCCGCAGACATCAGAGGGCCTAGAGAGCAGTGACTGTTGCGTTCAACGATGGATCAGTAAAAGCTTGTCGCCTTCTGACAGTTGGGGCGTAGCAACGCACCAACGGGTGCCGAAGATCGACGGAACGACGACAAGGACACCAATCAGCAACGGGGAAGGAAGACTCAGCGACGCCATTATAAGAGGTCAGAAAATGATCCACGAGAACAACTCCGCCATTAGCAGTTTACAGTCGCAAATTTGAATATATCCTCATTCAGATGGAAAGAGCAAGAGTTAGTTAATGAGGCCTTAAGGAACCAACTTCACATGGTTGGACTCTCGCCAACGAAATGCCAAGGTTCTGGACTCTTGAAACTCAACGGATGGAGGCTATTCCGCTCAGGCGTCGATATCACGACTCGCGCTCAGGCCGGTGTTGGCGTTCTGGTAGAACCCAACCTTGCCGA